GATGTGAAAGCTGGGGTTGCTTTCAAACAATGGTGCAAAGTACAGGGTGCATTTCAGATAATCTAGGTTGTGACAGTCCTGATACTTGTTGAAAGTGGCTGATGGGCACATTGGGTTCATTACCTTTCCTCTCTGGCTCATATGAGGCTCATCCTCTGTGCTGTGCAGCTCTTGGGCAACCACATCTTGCTCTGTGCCTTAGGGTGCAGGGAGGTGTTCAGTGAGGCACTGTCTCCCTGATATTGTTGCCACCTGCAGCGGCTCCCACTTCTTGCAACTTCCCATCACAGTCTCACGTTCTGCCTCTGCAGAAATTGGCAGATCTTAGCCAGGTTCCATTATAAAAAACAAAAGACAAGGACAACCTCAGGGATCTCCTGCTGCCCTGCCCAGGGTGGATCCTAATGTATCAATATGTGTCAACTGCTGTGGTTGAGGCTAGGCGTGGCAGCCAGGTAAAGGCTCCAGAGAGGACAATCTAGTATCATCTTTCTGCCATGGTTTGGATGTGGTTTGTTCACCAGTGATTCATGTGCTGGAAGTTTAGTTCCCAGTGTGGCAGCATTGAGGAGGTGGGAGTATAAAGGGGTGGGGTGTAATGGAAGGTGATTAGATCATGATTAGGGTTAGATCTCACAGGAGAGCATTAATTCTCTGGAAAGTGAGAATGGGTTGTTCTAACAGAGCAGCCTGGCCACTCTCGTCCCTTGCTTTGCTTCTGCCATATGATCTATCTCATAAACACTCCTGCTACATCATGTCTGTGCCATTTTATGACATAGCTACAAGGCCCTCTCCAGAGGTAGACCAGAGCCAGGCAAAGTGATGCACTCCAGTAATACCAGAGGCTTGGGAGGTTGAGGCAGGAGTTTTGCGTGTTTGAGACCAGGCTCAGTAACTTGGCATGAGCCTGTGTCAAAGTGAAAAGCAAAAGGGCTATGGATGTTGCTCAGTGGCAGATCATCCTTGGGTCCATCCCCAGTAGTGTCAACCACAACAACAGACCAAAAACAAAAACAGAGGCAGACCAGAGAGGGCCACCTGATCTTGATTTTTAGTATCTAAAACTGTGTGCAAAATAACTATATTTTATTTATAATTACCTTGTGTTGGCTATTTTGTTATAGCAACACAAAGCAGTCTGAGACAGAAAGTTACTACCAAGAGTGGGGTTGTTACTAAAACAATACCTGAAACTATGGAAGTGGCTTTGGAACTAGTTAACAGCCAGAGGTTGGAGGAGTTTGGAGGAGCAGTCAAGAAAAGTTTTGTGTTGCTGGGTGCAATAGTGCACAGTTGTAATATCAGCAGTTCAGGAGGCTGTGGCAGGAGAATTGCAAGTTCAAAGCCAGCTTCAGAACCAGCAACTTAGTGAAGCCCTAAACAACTTAGTGAGATGCTATATCAAAATAAAAAATAAAAAGGGCTAGGGATATGGCTCAGTGGTTAAGTGCCCCTGGGGTTATACCCTTGACAAAAAAGAAGAAGGAGAAGAGGAAAAAGGAGGAAGAGGAGGAGGAGGAGAAAGAGAAGTCTTATACTGCTGTAAATGGAGAATTATCTGTAATCCTGGTGAAAGTTCAGATAACGAAGAGACTAGGAAGGAGCTAGAACCTCATAGAGATTGGTTAAGTGGTCATATTCAGAATGCTGATAGCAATGTGCTTAGTAAAGGCCATCCTAAGGAGGTTTCAGAAGGAAGTGGGAGCCATCTGTGGAAATTAGAAGAAAGGATCCCTTTGATCATTGTAAACACTTGGCTACATTGTATTCATGCATAAAGTTGTTACAGAAGGGCAAATATAACATTGATGACCTAGAAGATTCAGAGAACAACATTTATGAGCAAAATATAGAAGAAGCTGTGTGGTTATTTTTGGTCATTTTAAGTGAGATTTGCAATGATAGTAGGCAAATGAAAGCATACCTTAAATTATTGGAAATTTCATATCTGCCCACCTAAAGAGCAAAATGGGAGATTGGGTGAGAATACAGAGGATGCAAAAGAGATAACTATGGGTGGGAAGAAGCCAGACTCTCTGCTTCAAAACCATGGGAGAGAAGGCCTGAGGCCTACACATAATCTTCCAGGGTGTCCTTGCATCAAGAGCCCCGAAGACCATGGAAGAAGCCCTAGCATGGTCTCAGGATTCTGCTCCTTGTGTTCTAGCAAAATGCTCTGGGTCTGTCCAACCATGGTTCACGAAAGCCAAGGCATGACTCCTGATGCTGCTCCAAAGGGAGCAAGCAACAGACTTTGGTGATGCCCAAGTGGAGCTATTTTGCAGGTGCAGAGAATCCAAGGGCTCTGCTGTCACAACAGCTTCCCCTGGGGTTTCAAAGGAAAGTTCTGGAGGCCCTTCTGTTGGAGTGGAGTCACTGCAAAGATTCTTCACCAGAATGCCTAGTGAGGCCATGAGAGTGGGACCATTGCTTTTGAGACCCCAGATGTGTAGAGTCACTGGCAGTGTCAATGCCAGCCTAGGAAAGTCACAGGCCATGGCAAGCAGCCCAGGAGAGCAGCCATGTGGACTGCAACCAGCATTACCCCAGGGGTGGGGCTGCCAAGGCCCTGGGGACCAATACACTGCCCTGTGTCTAGGAGGCTGGGCTTGGAGTTTGGAGATCTAGTGTCTTCTTTGGTTGTTTTCAGACTTGCTGGGGGTCTGGGAGCCCTTTCTACTTGCTATTCTTCCTTTTTGGAACAGGACTATCTGCCCTGTGCCTGTTTCAAGGCTGTTTCCTGAAACCATGTAACCTGTTGGAAGACATTTGCCTTGAGTCCCAGATGGGAGTTGGGACTTTGCACTTTGGAGTCATGCTGGCAAGGCTTCAGCCTTTGAGGACTATAGGCATGGAATGACTGCATTTTTATATTAAAAGAAGAATGTGAACCTTGGGGGGTGGGGGCAGAATGGTATGGTTTGGATATGGTTTGACCCCCAAAGGTTCCTATCGTGGATGACTCTCCCCAGTGAGGAGATACCTTTCAGAAGTAGGACCTAGTGTTTGGCTCAGGACTGCCCTGTGAAGGGATTAATGTTAGTCTTTCAGAGTGGATTATTAGATCTCACAGGAGTGGATTAATTCCCTTGAGGTGAGTATAAGTTTTTATAACAGAGCAAGTCGGCCTCTTCCCTGTCTTAATGCTTCCTCTCTCGCCATGTGATCTCTCTCCTACAAAGTCCTACTATGTCATGCCATTGACACACTATGACATAGCTGAAAGTCCCTCACGAAGATCTACTAGAGAAGGTCACCTGAGCAGAGATTTTCAGGCTTTAAAGCTGTGAGCTAAATAAATCTATTTCCTTTATACATCATCCAGTGTCAGGTCAGTTATACTATTTTAGCACCCCAAATCGAACTTAAGATATGTTCCAAGTCAAAAGGCACACTCCATACGCACTGCATGTCTATAATCCCAGCAACTCAGGAGGCTGAGGCCAACCACAGAAAATTAACAAAGCCCTAAGCAACTTAGTGAGATGCTGTATCAAAATATAATGAAAAGGGCTGGGGGACATGGCTCAGTGGTAAAGCAACCCTGGGTTTCACTCAGTACCCAAAAGGGGCATGGATGGTACGTACCTCTTCCCAATAACATGCTGCCTACACAGAATTCCTTACTGGGTGAAATTTCTTTTCATGTAATGTACACAGACAGCATCCCAGATTCCTCAGGTTTGTGTTGAGACAGCAATGGACAGAGTCTGCTAAAATATCCCTGATCAGAGACTTGTTAAGTCAACAGCACATCATCCTTTCCGCTCGATAGTGGAGGAAGCTGCACCATGTAAGAGTGTGAGGTGACTCCTGTGTTAGGCAGTGGGAAAGCATGGTGCCCCAGAGGGTGAGTTGTGGTCATGTAGATGGAAACCAGGTATGAGAAAAAAAATCTCTCTCTCTCTCTCTCTCTCTCTCTCTCTCACACACACACACACACACACACACACACACACACACACACTCACATAAAGTCCTGGGCATTGTATGTAAGACCCAGAGGCCTTGATGGCCCTGTGAAGGAATCATGATTGGTGGGGACAGAAGAGGGTGGAACCCAAATCTGTGCTCTCCTGTGATTTGTTAATGAATATTTCTGAATGGGTGAAGCCAAGACACTATTTATAATGGCAGCCATCAGTGAAATTGGGCAGCTCTCCTTGTCTAGAAAGTCCTAGTGACTTTTGAGAGGAGCCTGGTCAACAGCAGGGAAGTGGGAAAGACCCTCTGTGGGTGTGTCATGGGGGAGAGGAGAGTGTGGACTCCTCCTGGCAAAGTGGGGAGGAATAGCAGGAGATAAGGGTGGCTGCACATTAGAAGGCTTTTATGGAGAAGATCAAGCCAAGGACAGCCCAGGCATCCTGCCAACCTTACCTAACATCTGATGAGGGCCTGGATGCTACCTGTAGGCTCAGAGCCCCATCACCTTTGCCCTAGTGGCCAAACCATTCCCTTTTTCTAGGTCAGGTGTGTAAGGTGAGAGGAATCCAGTGACATCCCAGATCCCCTTTAGGACACAGTGCCTGGGACCTTCTGTATTTCCCCTAAGATAAGTAACCTGGCCTTGAACCCCTTTGAGATGGGCAGGTCACCCCTCTGGCCAAAGGCATGACCTATAGCCAAATGGCAGCAGGTAAGTGTTACTAAGTTGATGTTGTTTTTTCCCATTGGCAGCTGGAGATCCAGCACAGCCAGCACTCAGTGTCCTGAATGCCCGTCCAGAGACAGGGAAGTTGGCCCTGCTCTTCGGGTTCCTAGTCTCCCCTCATACCCTGCCTTATCCTTGGTGTTGGTGACAGAATTCTGACCCTGTCATCACTTCAGGGGAGTCACTCTGGGCATTAGGTGGAGCTCAGGGTGGCTGCACATTCCTTTCTGTCCTGTCCTCTATCATTTCCACCAGCCTACCTTCCTGCAGCCTCAGTCTCTTCTTCTACACCATTTGGCTGATGGGAACACAGAGTCTGACACCCCAATCCCGATGTGAGCCTTACCCTGGCCTTGGAGGAGGAGCAGCAGGAGCCCACAGGCCACGATGCCCAGCTTCCCTTGAACTCTGTGCAGCCACACGGTCATTTCCCAGGGATGTTTCTGTGCTGCTGTGGTTGCTGTGCTTCAGAGGTCAGCACAGAGAAGGTCCTGGGCCCAGGTGGAGTTTGGACCCTGCAGGGAGGAGGCAGAGCAATGAGTGGTGTCCTGCAAGCTGGGCACTGTGGGGGAGCCACTCTGAACTCGCAGAGGTCACAGAGGAATTGGTTACCAGGAAGGACATGGCTGCACTCCTTTGTCAGCTCTCAAGGTGCTGCATGGCCACTATAACTGCTCTGAGATCCCAGGAACCCACTCCTCACCCCTGGAGTTACTAATTTATTGTCCTAGCAGCCACTGGCTCTTTTAGTCTACTTTATTTTTCTTCTGTGCCCAAAAGACCTGACAAGAATAACATAGAGAAGGAAAAATTCATTTGAGGCTCATGGTTTCAAAGTTCTCAGTCCATAGAGAGCTGGATCCATTGCTTAGGTCTTAAGGAGAAGCTGAATTTCATGGAGGAAGGGTGTAGTGGAGGAGAGTTGCTCAAGACATCATACCAGGAAGCAGAGAGAGAGCAAGCTTCATTCAAAAAAGACAAAATACATACCCCCCAGGCCTGCCCCAGTTACCCACCTCCTCCAGCTCCACCCTCCATGGCTACAGTTACCATCCAGTGAACCTTCATCAGGAGATTAATCAATGATTGGGTTAAGGCTCTCATAACCCAATCATGTCACCTCTAAACTTTCTGGTATTGTCTCACACATGAGCTTTGGGGGACACCCTCTCTCTAAACCATAACACTGGCCCATGAGGGTATTGGGGTGGAGAAGAGGGAGCAATGGGCTGTAATTAGAGGTGCCAGGAGGGCTTCTCTGAGGGGACACAAAATGAAGATCCCCACAGGTGAGAATGATGACCTTGGGGGATGAAGGGGACTGCCTGAGCAAACTGGGCAGTGTGACTGTGCCCGTGGTACTGGGAAGTCCTTCTTCCTCTCAGCATTCATAGTTTCCTGAGTTCCCTCCAAGGTCCTTGTAGTCCTGGTCTGAGGGTCTGTGTAAACCTGACCCTGTTTGTCCTGGTTGCTCTGTTGAAAATACACTGGTGACTGCAAATGTGACACTTCTTAAGAACCCACCCCCCTCCACTGTCCCTCCTCCTACCCTGTGGCTTCCCCTGAGGACAGCTCCCTCTGAGGTTGAGTTTACTGTTATTTATGCACCTGACAAACATCCTGCGGACTTTCTGGTTCTAGCACTGTGGACCTGTAGGGCTCTCTTGGGCATCTGGGGCCGCTGGGGAGACAGGCCCATAACCAGGAGTTGTCAAATCTTCTAGAATCCTGCAAGGATATAGGGAGTACAGCAGGAGACAGGAGTGCCTGCTCTGCCTGACTTCCTGGAGGAAGGGGTGTGGGCTCCACCTCAGATGACCTTCAGTACCTTCTCCTAACAGGCCTTGGCTTCTTCATTCTAGCTTGGGTTCATTCCTACATACCAGGATAGCAAGTGTCTTTACTGGTGTCTTTCTAGGAGTGATAATATGCCCAGATGGCTGTGTCCTGGGCTTCTCCTTGACTTGATTCAAATTTTCCATCCAATACACTGTGGTACAAGCCACTGTCCCAGCTCCTGTCCAGGCAGATGCTGTCTCTGTCTGTATTCTCTTGACCTAATTTATAGCTGGGGCTGTGGAGGTTGAGATATTCTAGTTCCTCCTGGTTCATAGTCATGTTATAAGCTCCTTTATGTCAACTGGACAACACAGTGCTCCTTCCTAACCTGGACTTTGCTGTCTACCTCTTGGTGAAGGTCCCCAAGCTAACAGTAAAACCCTGGAATGAAGAGTCTTAGAGTATTAGGGCTTGTGGAGGATGGAGTGGGGTGGAAAACTTATATATATATATA